GATTTGTACATAATGATTAGCAAGTACAGCCACTAAAATAAATTCAAATCATCATTTGAAAGTTTTTGCTTTCTCTTTCGATCATAAAGCTAAGTTTGAAAAACTGGACACCTTCTTATCAATTATGCTTTCGATTTTTCTTTTCTCTTTGAAGACTTTCTCCTGAAAAATAGAACCAAAGTTTATGTTCTAAGCTTAAACAATGCAAAATAGAACATACCAAACATATCAAAAAAATATAAACACCTTCTTATAAATTTTTCTTTCGATATTACTTCTCCCTTTGAAGACCTTCTCCTGAAAAAACTAAAAGAAAAAGTGAAATCACAAGATTAGATTAAAAACTATAAAAACGACTAAAATAAGTTTGTACTTAACATATCAAAATCAAATACATTAACCAAAACAAAACCAAAATTTATGTTCTATAATATTTAAGTTTAGATACAAATCTTCTTCTTCTCCGTGAAAGGGTCCTGGAAAAACTACACAAATCAAAATTAAATTAAAAATCACTCAGAAGAAAGAGAATCAAATACCAGATTACTCGATAAGATTCCTACAACCCTACACCACAAAAAATAATAACACAATCAACATAACACAATTACAAATATTAAATAAACTATATATGTCACGTTAAACATACCTTGTTCAAGACGAATTGATACATCTCGTTCTTTGAAGAAGATGCAAAACAAAGTACCTGTAAGGAAAACATATCATAACTAACACAAATATACAAACCATCATAGATCTATCATAAAAAAAATTAGAATCAAGATTAATCATTAGATAATTAAGAGTTAAGATTAACACAATAAGATATAAAGATACACAGCTAGCAAGCAATATATATACCCAAACAGATTAGGGTTTTTATTTGCTGTATTAAGTTTAGACGTAATTAAATTATTAGGTTTAGCAGACGATAAAACATGAAAAAACAGCATAAAAATTAAATAAAAACATACATTTTTCAACATAGCAAATCATAGATCAACCTATCACATGAAGAGAGAAAACTGAAGAACGTACACAACAAGAGTCGATGCATAAATCAAAGATAAAACATAAAAACACAGCATAAAAATTAAATAAAAACATACCTCGTTCAATGTAGTAAATCATAGATCAACCTATCACGAAGAGAGAAAACCGAAAAACAACATTAGAAATCTACTTGAGAACATCAAACAACCAAACAATATTACAACAACAATTTAAAAAGAAAAACAAAATAAAAACGAAAAAGACAGAGCAATCTAGGTTAAAAATATGGGTTTCAAATCATATATAATGAGAGGTATATATAGCTTCCGAAATCTAGGGTTTTGCTTCAAAAACTAGGCTTTTAAATATACTTCTAAACTTGGGCCAAAGTAAAATTATAAACTCAACAATGGATAATATTGAATTTGAAAATAGCTCATAGATCCATTTAAAACAATCAAACCAAACTCAATAACATATATTAGCAAACCCATCGATTTTTATAAAATATATATATTTTCACTTATTTCCACCAAAGGCATAATGCGTTTCTGACTTTGCAAATAATAATATAGATTCTTTATATCAATATAATGTTATTTTGAAACATTCATTTATTATGATCTCTCTATTGTTATTTGTACCGTAAATTTTCTGACCGCCAAAACTTTTCCTACCACACCATTATTTCTTGTAGGAAATATCAATTAGAACACAGTAAAAAATTGGCGCTGCTATGCTGTTTGGTTACACCAAATCCCATTATATAGAGAACCTCGTAGTTTTAATTGGGCTCTCTAACTCCCTTTTCGTCAAAGGGTTTTTAACTTTTTTTATTTTTTTATAATCAAAACAAAGCAACATGTAAAAGTGTAAATTAATTCATATGAACATGAACGGTGAACCGCTCCGGTTGTTATGTACCTTTAAGTATTTTTGAAAACTTTCAAACAAACTTTAGAGAACAAATCATAAAAAAGAAAACGTCAACGAAAGAAAGAATATTCCCGATGAAACAGCTCATTCTCCTCTTCCAACTCTTTGACCATACCCAAGCGTGTATGTATGTAGTCAACATGTCATGTCCTATATATTAACTACACACAAACCATCACACGCCACAATCCATCCTCAGATACAACAGTGCTCTAATATTTTCCCAACAACGAATCTCTCCATGGCCTTGACGATGCCGAAAACAAGCACTTACGGCTCCCGCAACGACCAGCAACCTAAGTTACCTAACAAACTACAGAGACGAGCTTCATCTTTAAAGATCGAGCTTGCGTCGGTTAGTACGTTCCATGTTGCCATCCCGATCCTCTCGCCGCTTGTTTCTTCCCCAAAATCGTTATCCGACCAATCTAATGTTCCTCCGCCGCAGAACGAGACTGAGAAACCGGCGGAGGAGGAGAAGAAGACGCCGGTTTTCAAGAAGTGGCAACATCCGGCGGCGCCGCTCAGCTACGAGCAGGCGATGTTTGTCCTACCGTTCATCCCGGTTTAGAAACGGTTCAACCGTTCAAACATTTATAGATTTAACGATCCAACGCGCATATGAAGCTTGTTTGTGTGACTAGACCAACCCGCATTTGACTATTTTCACCTTTTTGTAAATCTAACAACTCATAATTTTCTCCTCTTTTATGTTTCTGTACCAAACAACAAAATATTAGACAATGACTAATGAATAATTGTTATATTTATAAGTTTTAGCATGTGTCTGAAGATTATTTAATCTTCCAATAACATTAACCAGTCAAAAGACTCGTTCCACGAATGACGTATTACTCAGGGCCGGTCCAACACTTTTAATTACTTTTTGTATTTTTATACGATTGTGAATGTGTATATAATTAATGGACCCGTCGTTGTAATCTATTGACATAATCATATAAATTACAACAATTTTGATCTTGTTAGAAGTAAATCACAATTATTTAATATTAATTCTGAAACGACGAGTTGTTTCAGAATCCTACTTGTACCATTGTCATATATACTCTGAAGATTAAAATTCAAAATCATCTCTAAATCACCTTTAAATTTGCGACATACATATAATGTTGTTGCTAAAATCATAATACCCATGTGTGTCAGTGTTCGTGTTTATAACATGTACAGATCCTACTATACTTGTCAGAGAATTAACGTCTTGTATTTTTGTTTTATTGGTGTACGGAGAACCTTGCATACCATTTTGATTTCAAACGAAAAACTAATAACTTCTTTTGTCTAAATAACGGAAACAAACTACTACATTTTGATAATTCTTGTGTAAGCATTTGTCTCCAAACAAGAATTTAGTAGGATATAAATTGGGATCTTGCAAAAAAAAAAAAAAAAGAACTGAGATCTTTCTAACGTAGAGAAGCCAAATGCCAAATACGATTTCTTTATTCTAAACCCTTAAAGGCAACACCATCGCTTCCATCCCTTCTCTTCTCGATCAAGCCAAACGCTAATGCATGCGTGGATCCGTCCTCATCACCAGCGTAGCTGTATGGTGACGAAGACGTGTCCACACTTAGAATTTGAGTTTGGCCTCATCGAGAAAAGAGAGGATGAAAACTATGCTTAAAAAGTCACGGCTCGATCTTGGGATAATTAAAAGAAAGAGGGTCGTTACACTTATCTAACGTGCACGTTGTGAAAATGTCAAATAGAAGTGGGTGACTTATATATACAACACAGACAGAGCCGTGCTTAAAGGTTTTAAGGCCGTAGGCAAAAAAAAAAAAAAAATTTCATATATCATAATTTATAAAAAAAATATAAATACACAAATATAAAAAAAACTCATGAAAATGTTGATAAACAGAACATTAAAATAAAATGGCAACAATTTTTTTTTTCAACCACTTTAATATTCTAAAATAATTCAGTAAGCTAAATCAATAGCAGTGAGTTTAAATGGCAACTATCCATGCTGTAGAAAAATCAATTTACCATTGAGAACACAAATTTAATATGTTTTTTTAAAACTCATTATAAATTAGCGAGTTAAGATATGGATTTAAATATTTATATTTAAAAGTTATACATAGATTATTTAAAAGTTATACATAGATTGTGTTTTGAATTTATATAAGAGATATTAAAAGAAATACAACATAAACATAATTACAAATATGGCTTCTTAAATTTTGTATAAAATTATTTGACATAAGCATAATTACAAATATAACTTCTTAAGTTGTATACAAAATTATTTGACGTAGACGAGTGCTTCTTTTAGCTCTACGCACGGCCCTGAACACAGACCTCACTTAAAGAGAACTAAAACCCTAGAATTGAATCATCTCTCCAACCACTTTGGTACCAATATTATTAACTGCACTCGTACTGTCGACAGAACAGAAGTGGATGAATCTCCGAATCTTAACTTTTCGTAGTTTTAATTTTCTTTGTTCTCGTTTTACAGCTTCAGTTTATTAAGCTCTTATCCATCGATTCACATCTATACTTGAAATTTATATCAAAATTAGGATAATGATTTATCTAAAATGAACAAAATGGTCTAAAATCTAGTTTCTAAATTTTTTTTTTCTTAAATGAAACCTTAGTTATAAATTTAATTCAAGAATGTTTTCAAAATCGAATAGAAAGGGGAACTGGATAATCTTTTGAATCACCCAACCATATTATAAAGTCAATAAACTTGAATTTACTACCCTTTTTTAAAATGAATTTTGTGACGTTCAAAATTATTCATGTTTAATAAAGATTATAAAATATTCCAAATATTACTTGTTCAAAAAAAAAAAATATTCCAAATACAAATGATTTTAAATCCAAACTAACGTTGAGAATGTAAGAAGTTCTTAAACTTTATATTAACCCATTAAGAAAAAAAAACTGATAGAAAAATCTATTCATATCATAATTTTTTTTTAGTTTTAGCTAACAAAGTTTAAGAATTTTGTTTTGATGAAAACAATTAAAATTAACAAAACTTGTTAAAAGATTAATATTCAAGTTTAGTTTGAAGCTACTGAGCCAGATGGGCTAGGCTAAGCCCAATAAACTCACCCAACTTTTGTTCTTCTCGGGACTTGCAATTGCAACAGTCTTGCACTTTCGTGCGTTCTCAGCAAACAAAACATGAAATCGTACGTTTCTGGAACTGAATCAAAATTCGAAAATCTTTTCGCAATGCTCTAAATTTCTCTTTGATGGCGAGTCATAGTTAGGAGAGTGGAAGCGAAGACGAAACCAAATGATGGTGCCAGATATGAACTATCGAAGGTTTGATCTATGATTCCTTTCTCTGCATCCGATTCATCCATTAATTTCGTCACGTCTTTTCACTGCAATGTTTAACATATCTCACGCGATATTGATTCTGTTCTCTAAACCCAATTAGATTGAATGTCATACGATACTGATTTGTTCACAATGTTCCGATTCCTTCTTCTGGAAATTTTAGTTTTTTTTGCATCACCGACACTCTTCTGGGTTTTTCGAATTCCCGATGATTCTAAGTCATCGACCTGATTCAGAGCTCGGATTATAGTTCTCCAGATCTTGATTTGAGTGTCCGCAACTAGAATTTGAGGAAAAACTGATCTTATTAAGAATCAATGATTCTATTTTTCAGGGAGAATCGTGCCTCAAGATCGTCTCTATTCGATGGCCTTGATGAGTGGACTTGAGGAAGTTCGCTTGAGAGTTTCCTCTACGTATTCTCATGATAATAGCGAACGCGACAATGATGAAGCCCTGCAAAATCTACAGGACAGGGTTTTTCGTTTCTGAAGAGAGTATGTTCTGTCATCTCAAGAACTTAGATCTTGAATTAACGTTTATAATAAGAACATTCCCTTAAGCATTGCTAACTCTAGACCCTAATTGAATCTTGAGGTATGATCTAATGCCTTTATGTTTTCCGTACTGATGTAATTAGTCTCTTCCTCCTCTGTGTTATATACATTGCAATAAACTCTTGTCCTAAGTTAGTGACTGTAGACATAAACATGAAGAAGTTGAGAGTCATAATCGCTTGCTTGAAAAAGATGGTAGGCTCTGAAGTTTGATTTCACATGTTTCAATTTGTAGATCTATGTCACATGATTTTGCTCTAAATCCATTCGTTGCTGTATGTCTAGGGGAACAAAATGTCAGAAACTATCAACCGTTTCAAGTTGGTATGTAAAAAATAGATTGTGTACTATACTAGTGTTCATTATTCTTACTGTTGGTATCAAGAGGGGAGAGTGGTCCTGTAGGGTAGTAACATAGTGGAAAGCGTAAGAAAGTTTCAGCAAAAAATACCAATTTGGAGATTCAACAGAATGTAGAATTGTAACATTGTGGGAAAGCATATGGTGCTAGACTTTTCATCTATTGTCTCTGGAGCAGCAATGTAGGCTGAGAGAAATGTTGTTGCTCTCCTAGATCTCATCGAAAGGATGTCCTGGATCTTCCTATCTGATTTCAGACAGAAGGTGCCGGATCTATGTCAATAAGCCTCAAACAAAGAGTTGGATTGGTGAAAAAATGAACAACGTTTGTCATTTGCTCCATTTTGAATAACCTCAGTTGCTGATCTGCTCCATTTTAGCCGCTGAATCAGAACAAGACGAAGAGAAAAGACAGCCATTGCCGAGGAAAGTTACCAACGGAGGATGATGGGGCAAAAGAGAAGGTTAAGGAGAAAAATGATGGAGTGATGGACGGAAACAGGAGCAGAGATAGAGAAACAGGCATTGCAGAGCAAACCTAAGACAAGTTTCTGTTTTTACTCTGTTAACCATTATCTTTCTCATAGTATGTATGTTATTATACTGTAATATACTTCCGAAGCAAAATAAAAAGTTTTTTACCAGAGTAAACATATGATTGTTTCAAACTTTATATTACAAAAATGGGTTTACCAAGAATAACAAAAGACATTGATTTTTACGCTAAAAACAACATTAACCAAGGAGGTAAGAAAAAGAAAAAAACAAAGTCTTGTTACACATATGTCTTCTTGAAAAGACGTGCTGCTTCAGCAGTAGAGTTGGGATTCTTGAAATCACAATCGCAAGTAGAGTATGATGCATAGGCGTAGGCTGTTTGCATAGGTTTCTTGAAGAGTCGCTCTGCTTCGGCAGTAGAATTTTCATTTGCTCTAGCTGTAGCGGCAGCAGCAGCTTCTCTTCGTACTCGTGCCTCTTCAGCTGCAGCGGATTCTTTTTGTGACTCTTCAATCCATCGTTTCCATCTTCTTTCTACTTCTGCAGCGTTTTCTTTTTCTTTATCAGAAGCCGACTCGTGTTGTGGCTGCCTCTCTCTCTTTCTCTGCTTAACTTCTTCCGATTTCCTTTTTCCATCATACGTGGCTCTCTTCGCTTTATCGGACAACAGATCCCAAGCATTCCCAACCAGTTTAAACGCGCCCTCCGCGCCGTTAAACCTGTTCTTGTCTGGATGAAGACAAAGAGCCAACTTCTTGTAGTGTTTCTTCACGGTTTCATCATCGGCTGAAGGATCTACACCGAGGATTCCATACCAATCAGATTTGACCCCTCCGATGTAAACATCTATCATCGTCGAGACTTGTTTCAAGCCATCGAGATCTGGGTACAGATTCTGAGCCTTGTTCACGAATCTTTTCGCCCCGTTGTAATCCTTCTCCGAGAGTTTCCTCTGTGCAACATCCAACGCTCTTCTACCATCTTCCTTATTACATTCCATGGCGTTTATTTCTCTCCGGGAAACAATCGAGAAGCAAAAAGAGAACGAAACTACGATTTTGGTTCCGATGACCTAGACAACGAGAGCAGCGGAAAAAAACGAAATCAGAGAGGAAGGATAATGATACGACCTACAAGTAACCGTTAGGTTAATATAGACGATTTTCCTTATTTTTTTTTTGTTTTTGCGAAAAAGGAAAAACAGTCAATTTTCCTTTTTTTTTTTGTTTTTGCGAAAAAGGAAATTTGATTGTATTTCGTTTCACGAAAAAGGAAAATCGATTGATTTCCTTTTTAATCTTGATGGGATTTCGGCTCGTTTCTCCGGCCCGTTTTAATAACGTTAAAGTTATTGAGCTAGATGGGCTAGGCTAGGCCCGATAAACTCACCCTTTCTCTGTTCTTCTCGGGACTAGCCAACAGTCTGGCACTTTCGTGCGTTCTCAGCAAACAAACCCATGAAATCGTACGTTTCTGGAACTGATTCGAGAATCTCTTTGCTCTAATTTCTCTTTGATGGCGAGTCCTCGATAGGAGAGTGGAAGCGAAGACGAAGAAAATGATGGTGCGAGATATGAACTATCGAAGGTTTGATCTATGGTTCCTCTCTCTTTGCATCCGATTCATCCATTAATTTCTCTCGCGTCTTTTCAGTACAATGTTTTAACATCTCTCACGCGATATTGATGGTTTGATTCTGTTCTATAAACCCTATTCGATCGAATTTCATACGCATCTGTTCCACAATGTTCTGATTCTTCTTTCTGTAAATTTAGGATTTTGTTTTGCATCACCGACACTCTTCAGGTTTTGTTTTTTTCTAATTCCCAATTAGTCTAAGTCATTGACCTGATTCAGAGATCGAATTATGGTTTTCCAGATTTTGATTTGAGTGTCTCAACTAGAATTTGAGGAAATAATGATCTGATTAAGAACCAATGATATTATTTTTTCAGGGAGAATCGTGCCTCAAGATCGTCTCTCTTCGATGGCCTTGACGGACTTGAGGAAGGTCGCTTGAGAGCTTCCTCTTCGTATTCTCATGATATCACCGAACGCGACAATGACGAAGCCCTGGAAAATCTGCAGGACAGAGTTTCGTTTCTGAAGAGAGTAGGTTCTTTCATCTCAAGAACTTAGAGTTAAAAGATTCATTACAAGGATTTAGATATTGGCTTGTGGTGTTACATGGGACACTGATCTGAATTGTTTGATAAATGATTTCTTGAATTGACGTTTATATTAAGAACAAGCTCTGAAGTATTGATTGCTACAGTAATTGAATCTTGAGCTATGATCTAATACTTCGTCAGAAAAACAATGCCTTTATGTTTTCATTTTTGATGTTTAGTCTCTTCCTCCTCGTTGCAATAAAACCCTTGTCGTAAGTTAGTAATGATATCTTTTTCAGGTGACCGGAGACATACATGAAGAAGTTGAGAATCATAATCGTTTGCTTGACAAAGTGGTAAGATCCAAAGTTTGATTTCATACGTTTCAGTTTGTAGATATCTATAACATGCTTTTCTTCTAAGCTAATTTGTTGTGGTATGTTTAGGGGAACAAGATGGACTCGGCGAGGGGGATAATGTCAGGAACAATCAACCGTTTCAAGTTGGTATGTAAAATAGATTGTGTACTATAGTTGAGTTCATCATTAAACCTTTTATGCATCACCCCTTTTGTGTTTTACTATATGACAGGTCTTTGAGAAGAAGTCTAATCGAAGAAGTTGCAAGCTCATAGCGTATTTTGTGCTCTTGTTCTTGATCATGTATTACCTTATTAGGTAAAGTGCTCTTCTTGATATAGTTATCCGAACCATTGACTCCTGACAGATGTTTTTAAACGGTCTGGTTCAAGTCTTTGTTCTTCGACGTGAACACAGTTTTGTTAGGCTAATTGGCACGACAATCATTTTGATTTTGCAGGCTATTAAACTACATCAAAGGGTGATTTTTGGATACAAAGAAGAAAGAAGATTGTTACATCAATACACGTTTCGTTTTGGGAATCTGAAACAAATAACTTTCATTTTTTGGGTTTCTCCTGATGAATGAAAGATTCAGACACATTGAACTAGTCAAGGGACCCATATTGAAACAAGACAAAGAAAGAGATTGTGAAGGGACTGGTGAACCGAAAGAAAAAAAATGGTAGATAGAGACACTTCTTTTGTCCGAAGCACAATCATCTCATGTCATTTCATGTAATGTAGTAAAAAGCTTCTTTATGATTTGTCATTTATCAACTATTTGTTCACAAACAAACAAGGTATTGGATCGTGTTTAACGATTTTGTCTACAAAAAGCTTAATTGATTGATAAGCTTTATAATTAGGTTATTGTGAAAAACTTTAGCACTTGTAAAGACAAAAAGAAAAGAGAGAGATATATACAAGTAGTTGAGAGTCTGAGACCAATTTTCAAAGTTTACAGATGCAAATGCCGTCGTGCATAGTGATTTATGCTGACATTTGCTAAAAATCCTCTATACATAATTGTCGTTCAAAAAGAGTAATTTTTGAATTTGAGTAAAATCACAAGTTGACAGAACACAACAAACGAATTTGATTTTTTCCACTTTAGGTAACAAGTTGGCATAAAAATTGACAAGTTGACATGTGTATTTTCCAGTGGTTCGGTTTTTGGTCAAATCATCTTCACATCTGCGTAAATCTTTTTCTTATAAGTATGATTTAACTTTAAACTATTTCTAAAACTCGTTTTATGATCTAACATTAATCTAATAAATATATAAACATATTATACAATTAGTTTGTTGTGTTTCAAATTTTAACATTGTTTAATTATAGATATCTTATTATATTCTTACATAAACCGCAATCTCAACTTATACATTTTCAATAGTCTTCTTATTTCCTCACATAGCTTAGATTGATCATCATCTAATGATTCAATAAAAAAGCATGTTATACACGTTTATATAGCTCACTGAAAACGTAGATAATTTGTCTAAAGTTGGTTTGTATATAATTTTTACTTTAATCGTTTAGTACGTACAATATGTATATATATCCTAAATTTAATTTGTTTGTTAATCAAATAGCAATACAACTTGGCATGTATGAGACTCAATTCTTTGTCTCTAGTTGGTTTGTATCCTAAATATATCAGGTATTTATCCGTGTTATGCTGCAGATATTTTTTTAAATTTTGTATATATTTTTTAATATAATAAAATTATTTTTATAATATAGATGAATATTAGATTTATTTTTTATTAGCTTAAGTTATGTATTTATATGTTTTAAATCTGAATAAACATAGTATATCTTTAATTTTTTATTTTTTAAAATTATAATTTACTATCAAATTTGTTTAGCTAACTATAAATGTATATGTAAGAACAAAACAATACATTTTTAAGTACCTTCATACTAATAGCAAATGTAATTTATTTTCTCCATTAAATTACCACTTGATCCTCCTTTGTAATTATATAAAGCAAAATGCTATTTAAAGAAAAATTATTAATAAATATGATTATTTTGAATTATAAAATTTATTTATTTATCAAATATTTGTTATAAACATATGTTTCTAAAACTATCAAACTATAATCAATAACATTCATATTAAAATCATTGCTATTGCTTTAAAACTAAATAAAAAATTATGTTTGAACTGTTGAAATATCAATTTAATTGAAGTTAAATAATTGAATTTTGGTTACTGTAAACATATTGTAACTTGAAATTTTAGCACCAAGAAATTTTATCTTCTTACAAAAACCGAAAATCGCATTTTTCATAAAAACAAAAATTTCATTTTCCCACGAAACTGAAAAATCGCTTACTCTCGCCAAAACAAAACAAAAAAATTCTTGTCAAACATGAAATTTCATTTTCCCACCAAAACAGTGAAATTGCATTTTCCCGCAAAAAAAAAATCACATTTTCCCGCGAGAACCTGTATTTTCCCGCCAAAACCGAGTAATTAAGTTTTTTTTTACCAAAACTAAAAAATTTCATTTTCCTGCAAAAACAAAAAAAAAAATCATATTTTTCCGTCAAAACTGAAAAATTCATTTTCCCACGAAAACCAAAAAATCGTCTATTCCCGTCAAAACCACAAAAAATCATTTTTCTCGTCAAACCAAGAATCACGCTTTGCTACTAAATTCGATAAACCACAATTTTATGCGGAAAACAAAAATTGCATTATCTCCCCAGAAATTATATTTTCCGCAAAAACTATGAAATCGTATTTTTTCGCGAAAACAAAAAAATCACATTATATTTCAAATACTGAAAATTTGCATTTCCCATCAAAAATGAGAAATTGCTTGTTCCAGCCAAAACCAAAAAAATTGTTTTCCCATCAAACCGAAAATTGTGTTTTCTGCCAAAATTGTCAAATTGTAATTTCCCGCAAAACTAAGAAAGCACATTTTCTCGCAAAAATCAAGAAAATCGCATTATCCATCAAAAGCCAAAATTTACATTTTCTATCAAAACGGAAAAATCGTATTTTTCATCAAAATTGAAAAGTTGCATTTCCTATCAAAACCGAAAAATCGTATTTTCTCGTCAAAACTAAGATATCTTTTTCGCGTCAAAATCAGTTTTTTTTTCTTACCAAAACCAAAAATTCACATTTTTCCGCCAAAACCAAGAATTCGCTTTTTTCCGCCATAACCGAGAATTTATATTTTCCTACCAAAACTGAAAATCACATTTTCCTACTGAAACCAAGAAATTCCTTATTCCCGCCAAAGCCAAGAAAATTTGTTCTCCGTAACCACCGGAAATGCGAATCTCCAAGCTGTGGTGGTCTGAGCTTCTCCTAATTTGCTTTCGACTTCTATTTTTTTTTATAAACTTTGGGCTTTTTAACGGGTCAGAAAAATAGTAAATTAATTTTATTATTGTGTTGATGATATGTATTATTGTTATGTTTTTATTGGTTCAAATTTTTGCTGATGTGTGAGCTTCTTATAACATAAGGCTTTTTGCGTTGTTATTGTTATTGAAGTATAGTTGATGTTGAGCCTACACTTTCTTTAATCATATACGTCCATGCAAACAAATGATAGCTAGAATTTTATTTTTTGTTGTTAATTATTATTTTTGGTTTGGGTTTGGCAAAAAATAAAATAAAGTTTTTTATTTGATGTTATTTATTATTTGGGCTTGGGTTTGGTAAAACAATAAAATAAAGATTTTATTATTTTCTGTTATTTATTATTTAGGCTTAGATTTGTTAAAAAATAAAACAAAGATTGACGAAAAATGTATTTAGATTTTTAATGGGTTTAAGTTTAAAAATTAAAATAAGTAAATGAGTTGTATTAATAAAATGTTTTGATTGGTGAATTTTTTTGCTGAAGTGTCATCTTCAGAAAGCTCCAAAATGCTGATGTGTCATTAGCAGGAGAGACACTTGTGTTTTTGTTGTATTGATTTACGTGTTCACATAATTTATACTACTAATACTCCCTCTGTTTCATAATAAGTATCATTTGGAGAAAATGTATCTGCAATATATATGGATGTATTAAATTCAAAACACATCCAGATACATCCAGTTATAATACAGATACATTTTCCTAACATGACACTTATTATGAAATGGAGAGAGTATTAATATTTCCTCCATTTTATAAAGAGTGTCATTTTAGAGTTTTGTTTTTGTTTCACAAAGAGTGTAGTTTTGGATTTCCAATGCAAATTTATAACCAAATATCCACTTTTAATCTTGTTACATTAGTGTATTAATTAGAAAAAGAGAGTTGTTAATGTATTTAAAAGGGATAAAAAAACTTTTTATTAAATTTCTTACTTTGTGTAAAAAATGTCAAAGTGACACTTATTTTGAAACATATAGAGTATATGATTGGCTTTATAGGAAATTTCAACTAATTTAGCTACCTTTCCGATGCAAATCTCACAATAGATGTTTGTCGATCGTTTTAATGAGTTATGTTTTGAGTTTAGATTCAGAGTTAAATTATATGCAGGATAATGTTCGTTTAGAGCATCTCCAACCTTACTCCATTTTCAACTCCAAATACTATTTTGGAGTAAAATTCTCTCCAACCCTACTCTATTTTTAACTCCAAAATGGAGTAAACCTAAATTCTACTCTATATTTGGAGTAGATCTAAACTCTACTCTATTTTAGATTTTTTATTTGCAAATTAACCCTTTAGATTTAAAATAATTATATTTTATACTATTTAATATTTATAAAATATATTATAAAACTGATAATTCTAAATATTTAAACACTGCAATTATTCCTAAAAAATTACAAAATATAATAAACTTTAAAATACATAATAAGTGCTGAAATTAAGATAAACAATATAAATAAATTTAAAACAACAAATACAAAAAACATTAATGATAATTTTTTTAGTAATAGTAATATTTAAATAAAAATTGCATATGCTTTTTTGTGATGTTATGTTATTTTCATTATTTGATAAATATTTAAGTTATAATTTTTGAAAGAAATTGTAAATAATAAAATAAGTAGGATTTATTTGTAAATTTTAAAACTAAAAAGTATTTATAATAAAATCGAATAAGAATCTATTTAGAATATTCATTTTTGGAGTAGAAAATAGAGAAATACATTAGAGCAAAACACAACTCCATTTTAGAACTACTCTATTTTGGAATAGAAAATGAAGAAATACATTGAAGATGGTCTTAGAAACTTAACTTTAGAATAAAAAAATTCAGAATTTTTAATTTTATTTTGAAATCTTATGACAAATCTTTTCACACATTTTCACACCGTGGTTTAGAAGATTCCCATTATCATACTACCGAAACATTTACATAGGCATCTTCATTTTGATAAGTAATCCCGAATCGGCTTTTACAGTTGTGGTTTCGCATTTTGCATTTTCCTATACGGCAACGCTAAATTCAAAATCTTTAATAAAAGAGATGAAGGCTAAGTTGAAATCGCTTCCACTTTTCTTTTTGATTAAATGTCTAAACTACTTTTCAGTTTTTTCGTAATACCAACGCTTTGATTCTTTTGAAAACCTGAATTAAATATACTTGTCATAAGAAAATTATAATAAAACTAAAAATATACGTATTTAGATTTAAGTATTCACTGTGAAAGCATTTTTATTAATAACATTCTTCCCATTAGTAGGAAAATGTATACATATATATATAACTTATCGAAGTATAATTGGTGATCTATTCGGAGTTATATCCTTTACCTGAGTTTACCAGTTTCATCCTTAATTATTATCTAACTGATTTCTATGTGAACAGTTTAGCCGTTAGCCAGTTAAGTTAGACTATATCTCTGATTATTTTACGTCTAGAAGTACATACCTATTAGATTAGAAGTAAGTTAGCTTGATTATCTT